CTGCTGCCAAATGCAACTAATGGCTCATTCACAAGTGTAGCAGGCACTGCTGCTTCTCTGAAAAGAGATCCAAGTGTGTTTGACAGGTGGTGAGGAGGCAATATTTTGCCTCCTCGCCACCCAATTTAAACCCATGATTGCAGTGCAATAAACCCGATTGCGACACAGTAGTACACAATTAGAAAGCTAAAAGTAGCATTTTTAAAGTGTGGCATGTTAGGTATCTATTTACTTGGCATAACATCATCTTTTATATTTAAAAAAAATCAATATTATACTGTGTTTGTGTGCACTAAAATTCATTAAAGTGTATTTTTGTTTATTGCCTTTAAAGAACCACTGCACAAATATCGTGTGACATAACAAATTGCAGCACCCACCATTTTATGCACTAGGGCCTCTGCTTAAAAATATACATAATGTTTGCTGGTTTTAAGTAAAAAAAACTTGCTTTACCTATCCCAGGCGAGCCAAAGCTTTCTTTTGTGCCTCATGTTTTCCCTCCCAGACACTGCAGCTCACAGTGGGAGGGCTTCACCAGCAGATGCAGTGCTGACAATCTAAAACAGCTGGCAGGAATAGGTGATCAGCCCAGTGGTGATCAAATACTACCAAACGAAAGCTCTATTTGTGTGAAAAAATAGTATACATTTCTGCGCAATAGCGCAGTGCTAAATAGCAAAAACGACCTGGTCATGAAGGGGGTAAAATCTTCTGGGGGTCAAGTGGTTAATCAGCTGTGTCAAAACTGATAGCCTCATCCCCTGCAAAATCTTTTCATCCCCTTGTTGGACAGCAGAAGAGAGTGCTGGCTGCTGGGGGAGCAAGGAATAATGTAGTCAGCTAGGTGACCTGTTTTCTAAGATGCATCTAAAATATTTGTATAAATGCCTGCAAAGGTCAATTAGTATGTTATATACTGTACATATGTAGTACCCTCTAGTGTGCTACTAGAATAGTGTAGAGTAGAGGTGTCAAACTGGTGGCCCTCCAGCTGTTGTGAAACTAGAAGTCCCATCATGCCTCTGCCTTTGGGAGTCATTCTTGTAACTGTAAGTCTTGCAATGCCTCATGGGACTTGTAGTTTGGCAACAGCTGAAGGGCCGCCAGTTTGACACCCGTGGTGTAGAGTATTATTGGTAAAATCATTGTGGATGACTCATGGTAGTTGTGCGAGTCATGTGATTGGGGCTGGGTTATTGCAGGTCAGCTGGATGACTCAACAGGTTGTGGCTCTATCGCCTGCTCTAGGCTCTGGGGGACCATAAAACCTTCGGGAAGTTGGTAAGAAGGAAGGGGTGGAGGCTTAATTTGCATATTAATGGAGGGCTCCGTCAGTCCCATGTTTGGAGGCCCTGGTAGAGTGGTGGACTGGCCTATAAATATGTGACAGTCAGGCTGAAAGGGGAGTCGGGTGGAAGATGGAGTGCTGAGGACACTGTCGGTGTCTATGAGGGGCCCCCTAGGTGTGGGGGGGGCTGGCCCCTAGAGTGGGTTCATACTGGTTCAGGAGGATACATTCTGCGGAGAGGAGCAGATGGGATCAAAGAAGACATTGTGAGTACAGCAGTACACTTTGGGATCTACAAGGGGGAAAGACTGTCAAACGTAGCAAGCTTTCTAAGAACAGCATTGGGCTCAATCCTTTATCCTTGTCCCGGGAGATCTTCCCAGAAGCCAGGAGGGCTGGTAATGCTTGCAGGCTGTGGAGCTGGGAGCAGCTCTGAAAGGGGGAGAGAAGACTGTATGTAGCTGTATGTAGCTACTAGAAGTAGTTTCTCATCTGTAAGGGGCAGCTGCAACTGATCCACAACGGCTGACAGCTTTCAAGAAAAGAACAGCCCAGGATCTGCTTTGTACATAGGAAGGAAGTGTCTTCCTTCCATTGTCTTAAATCAAATTGGACATTCCATAATCAGTGGTATATTTAGTTCTTGTGCTGCCCTAGGCAACACACAACCAACCCCACCCCCTCTCTGCCACCACTGACCATCGCAACCATAGCCCCCTGGCCTAGGGTTGCCACCATGTCTTTAAGCCAAACATGAGCACTGTAGCGGCACGGGGCAATTTTTTTTATCGTAGTATACACTATAGGATTATAAAAGATCTGGTGCATCTTTGGGTACCCCAAGGAGAGTAGTAATACGGGCCACATAGCATGCCATGGGGAACAGTGGGTGTGGCCAAATTGCTCTTGCTGACATAATCGCCCCGTTCCCTCAGTGATGCCAAACCTGCCCCCAGACAGCCACCCACATCTCCTGGAATGGCAACACATTTGTGTGTGACTATTTTTGTAACTTGGGGAGCCACAGACTGATCTAACTAATGTGTCTGAGTTTCAGGCAGACTGAAACCCGGACACGATTCAAAAACCAGACTGTCAGGATGAATTCTGAGCAGGTGGCAACTGTAGGTATTCTATGGATGAGCAGCGAATGAAATAGTAGTGTGTGATCAGAGGTCGTCCAGCTAGATGGCACGGGGGGTGTATGAAGTCTGCATTACTTCCCAGTACACAGCATGCTGGACATAAGAGCATATAGAGTGGTCACCTGGGCTCCTCCAGTCTATAGGATCCATTTACGGTATACAGGTCATAACCATCCCACCCCCTAAGTGTGATCACTACTGGATCAGATCAAATGATCTCTGCCAGGAAATCCATATCATCCTTCCTAGTGCTCCCCCAGACAGAGGAATTTGGGAGATTCCCAGAAGGAAGCAGCTAATGGAGGAATAAGAGAACCAACTAAGCCCCTTTAAACAAAACTGTGTGTACAACCATGATTCAGTACTCGACACCTGGCTCCTCCCACACGTTACATCACTCCACTTCTGACTTCATTTTTTTTTTCCCCTGAAGTCACGAGGGGCATGATGTAAGGTGTGGGAGGAGACGGGTGTCGGAGTACAGAATCATGGTTGTACACACAGTTTTGTTTAAAGGAACTTTGACCTCAGATTTTATGTAAGGGCAATACTTTTAATAAATAGCTTGATTCTAACTACTACACTATGTGAGGCTGTTCTGTGTTTAACTGAGCATTTGCACAATGGAGGAGAAAGGAAGAGTAAGTGTCTATAAGTCCGGGGAGGAAAAGATTGTCCACTTTCCCAAGAAGTAGAGACCATTTACTTCATATTTATCCCTGAAGGGAAAAGTGCATCTAGACCTAATGTACTGTATGTTCTTTGGTCTAATTATGGAGGTGAGCGCAGTATCATTCAGGTGATGGGAGTCACGTTTGCATGAAGGTGGCTAATATAGATTCAATTAATCACTTGTGGGAAGAAGATGCATGTGCTGCACCAAGGAGGATTTGTTTGGACTGTCACAGATTGACTGAATTGAAATATTTGCTTTACTGTCACTTATTGATTACTATTTATTGTATTATATAACACTTGGGGTTGTATTTTCATGTAATATATAAGCACATGCGTTTATTTTACATGCATTTATTATGATTTAGTTTAAATGTGAAGGGAGCGCCACATTTTATCTTTTTAATTTTAATTTGTATTAAGGCTATGTTCACACCTATGCAGACTGAGTTTGAGCCGTTTCTGCATTGCGTTTTGCGTTTTTTTTTGCCAATTTTCATTCTTGTTGCTAGGCAGATTTCAAATGCGAAATGCATCAAAACACATAAAAAACGCAATACATGTTTTTCTGCAGTGTTTCCATTGAAGTCTATAGAAACAAAAATGCAATTGTTTGCGATCAAACAAATTCCCTGACCCTTTAAAAAAAATGCACCGGGTGAAAACGCAGATATGTGAACATGTCCCATGTTAAATGGACTGTACTGCATTTCTGCAAAACGCTGCAAAAAAACGCTTAAGTGTGAACCTAGGGTAAGTGTGGGAACGTACATTGATGTGAGCTGCACCTGAAAACAAGTTTTTCACCAGTTTCTAGCACATTTACACTTTAGATATAGTGGGTAGCGCAGAAGTCACTTTGCACTATAGATGTCACTGGACCAGCTGTGACATTTCACTTTTACTTTGATGCACACATACACTGTCATGTGATATCACGGATGAGGAATGATCATTACAAAGCACTGGAGGATTACACACACTGCCAGAGCCGAGGTCTGACGCCACATGTCACTCATCACACAGACAGGAGCCTGGCATCTGCATCCACCGCTGGCTGTCCTATACTCATCACACTGCAACAAGAAGCCAGCCCATCATCATTACTCTCCCTCTAACACTGCTCCCCTGTCATCACCATCGATCCCCACTCTACTTCTCACCCCCCAGTCTCCGCTGTGGGTGGAAGAGCCAACCGTGATGGGGCAGGGGTAGGCAGTGACAGACCAGAGCTGAGTGGAGATGAGGAGTCATAGTCTCCAATACAACAAACATCGTCCATCAGTTATACGTGAGGATGACGAGTCAGAAGCTGGGGCGGGGACCAGAAGAGAAAGGGAACCACAGAGCGTCTGTCCCATCAACCCCCTGGACCAGCACTGAGCACCCAACACTGCTCATTCCCAAGCCATTGTCTGAATCCTGGCCACCACCTCAGAATTGGCTAACCTTATTTCTCCAGAATAATAGAACAGCATTTGGCCATCCCCGCGCCCTCCTCAGCAGTACCTCACTAGGTCCCTTCTTCCAGAAGGCGGCGTCGCCCCCCGAAGATTGCCTCTCAAGGCAAATTCCCTGTTTGCCCCGCAGTAAATACACAGCTGCCCATAATCCCTATTCCCTATCCAAGTTGAACTCCCCTAATAAAACAACAAAACTAAGTTCATGTACTGGTCACTGGCTTTGGATGCAAGTCTGTATGAAAAGTGGCTGTTGCTTGGCTGTGCGGATGGCAGTTTAGGGATACCCACAACACAGTGGCCCTCACGAGGGTAGCGTTACACATAAAAAATATATTTTGGTTTAGCAGTATATTTCATGTAATATTCCAGGTTGGTTAATGTGTGGGCACAGCAAAGAAAGCTGCAACAACAAAACTTAAATTTTACCTTGGCAAGTAGAGTAATGGCAAAGAAAGTCGGCTTCTACTGGAATTTTACAGCTGGATGTCGTGGCGATACTTGCATAAGGAGTCACACCATAATCAGAAGTATCTCCTCTGCATGCCTTTTATGAAAAAATCACAAACACGCAAGAGTTACTTAGTTACATCTATTATATTATTATACTTTATATAGACTACATTTGAGTAGAACTGTTCTCATAGCACATTAAATGTATTTTACTAAAACGTACCTTTGACAAGCTAACCTACTACATTAAAGGTATGTTCTCAGAATCATTTCTTCTTTTATTTGTGAATGCATATCCATTCTTCATTTTACTTACCTATCTGTAATTGCTATAATGTGCCATTGGAGGGAGAGATGGTTTACATGAAACAATGTAGGTTTACTACATTCCATATGTGATTAAGAATGATTTGAGGACAAAGAGGGTTTATTTGCTCTATTAACATTGGCATTTCTACATATAGTCAAGTTTAAAACCACAAGCAGATCAGAACAGCTGAAAAATATAAAACAAAATCATTTATTGTAATCAATTTAAAAAACACGCCCCTTAGAATAAATGGATTATAATAAAGGATTACATTTTATAATCCAACTGTGCTGATCAATTTGGGGTCTTAAAGTCGGCATGGAGGAGCACACAGTGCACCCTGGATCTATCTCCAAGGTCAGCATATGGAAGGTGAGCTGGTTTGAGTATTGATCTCATTTTTACATGTCACCCTGGATTTTGGACAATGACATTTTACTCCTATATTCTGCATCTGTGCCAATTTCAGTAAAATGATTGCGGTCACACACAAAAACACAGGTGGTCAATGTAGAATGTGGAAATAGATGAGATAACAGAGGGCACAAATCATATTACCCACAACACTTCAGTTACTTTCAGAGGAGTTTTGTGCATATTATATTGAAATAAAATGTACATATCGCTGGGTTAACCATCAGTAGGACATACACTGACTCACTACAGTTTTATTCCTAGCATCCAAGTGAAGCTCAATGAAAACTCAAGTGGCTGTGAACCATGGATAGAATATGTACATATGTTGCAACATACCCCCCTCCCCCAAAAAAAGAAACACTTGTTGTTGCTTCAGTCACAGGGATTGTGCAAGTTCCTTAGGTCCTTTATGATGGAGAGTAAAACAAACCTTAACACCCTGGTCTAATTTTGCAACCTTGACATCAATCAGTTATATCTAATGTTACATATACAGGCTAAGCCAGTAATATTTGATTTTATTATATGTAATGGGTCATATAGCACCATTAATACAGTGCAGAAAATACCAATAAGGGTTATAAATTAAATGTGGAAGCAGTAATATTACAGCAATACCGATCCAATACAGAGTGAGCTAAAGGAATATGGCCACTGCAATATAGACTACAACAAAATGGCTCTGAGGCAATCCCTGTATAAAAAGAATGAGCGCCGTGCTGTCCAATCATTTCTCCCTGATGAAACCACGTGACCCGGTGGCGTAACGCATAGGGGAGGGGCCTTGACTTCACGACGCGCGACTAACAGAGGAAGAGGAAGAGGTATCGGCAGGCTGTGCAGGCTAGAATCGCTAGCGGCTATTTGGAGCAATTGATCTTTGTGTAAAGCACTTTATTATATTACACGTGAGTGGAATACAGCTTATATTAAATAAATGCTTTTTATAAGGATAAAGCACTATGTTTTGATTATTTTTCTTGGCATTTGAACCGATGGAGGAGGACAACTAGAGGAGTAAAGGGGACCCCAGACCCTTTGGATAATAATATCATCTCATCATAGTCCAAATAAAGGGACACAGGCTTTATATGACCTCACTTAATGGTTTGATCATATATATAAGTTGAGCACAGCTGGTGGAGGTGCACAAGTGTTGGTTTGATAAAACCACAAGAGGTGAACTGAGGATTACTTGTTTCGCTACACTACAGTGTTTTTATAAAGAATCACAGATTTGATGTGGACAGTTGAATTATTTGTTGGAAGATCTGTATATTCAGTTGTTTGTTTTATTTTAGATTTAAGTGGAGCGTGGCACTGTTCTTGATATTGGCACATTTGTATTGGTATGTGTATGGCGTGAGCGATCTGCTAATATTTACATAGCATAATATATATACAGTGGGGCAAAAAAAGTATTTAGTCAGCCACCAATTGTGCAAGTTCTCCCACTTAAAAAGATGGGAGAGGCCTGTAATTGGCATCATAGGTAGACCTCAACTATGAGAGATAAAATGAGAAAAAAAATCCAGACAATCACATTGGCTGATTTGGAAAGAATTTATTTGCAAATTATGGTGGAAAATAAGTATTTGGTCAATATCAAAAGTTCATCTCAATACTTTGTTATATATCCTTTGTTGGCAATGACAGAGGTCAAACATTTCCTGTAAGTCTTCACATGGTTGGCACACACTGTTGCTGGTATGTTGGCCCATTCCTCCATGCAGATCTCCTCTAGAGCAGTGATGTTTTGGGGCTGTCGCTGGGCAACACAGACTTTCAACTCCCTCCAAAGGTTTTCTATAGGGTTGAGATCTGGAGACTGGCTAGGCCACTTCAGGACCTTGAAATTCTTCTTACGAAGCCACTCCTTCGTTGCCCTGGCGGTATGTTTGGGATCATTGTCATGTTGGAAGACCCAGCCATGTTTCATCTTCAATGCCCTTGCTGATGGAAGGAGGTTTGCACTCAAAATCTCACGATACATGGCCCCACTCATTCTGTCCTGTACATGGATCAGTCGTCCTGGTCCCTTTGCGGAGAAACAGCCCCAAAGCATGATGTTGCCACCCCCATGCTTCACAGTAGGTATGGTGTTCTTTGGATGCAACTCAGCATTCTCTCTCCTCCAAACATGACAAGTTGTGTTTCTACCAAACAGTTCTATTTTGGTTTCATCTGACCATATGACATTCTCCCAATCCTCTTCTGGATCATCCAAATGCTCTCTAGCAAACTTCAGACGGGCCCGGACATGTACTGGCTTAAGCAGGGGGACACGTCTGGCACTGCAGGATCTGAGTCCCTGGAGGCGTAATGTGTTACTGATGGTAGCCTTTGTTACGTTGGTCCCAGCTCTCTGCAGGTCATTCACTAGGTCCCCCCGTGTGGTCCTGGGATTTTTGCTCACTGTTCTTGTGATCATTTTGACCCCACGAGGTGAGATCTTGCGTGGAGCCCCAGATCGAGGGAGATTATCAGTGGTCTTGTATGTCTTCCATTTTCTAATTATTGCTCCCACAGTTGATTTGTTCACACCAAGCTGCTTGCCTATTGCAGATTCAGTCTTCCCAGCTTGGTGCAGGTCTACAATTTTGTTTCTGGTGTCCTTCAACAGCTCTTTGGTCTTCACCATAGTAGAGTTTGGAGTGTGACTGTTTGAGGTTGTGGACAGGTGTCTTTTATACTGATAACAAGTTCAAACAGGTGCCATTGATACAGGTAATGAGTGCAGGACAGAGGAGCCTCTTAAAGAAGAAGGTACAGGTCTGTGAGAGCCAGAAATCTTGCATGTTTGTAGGTGACCAAATACTTATTTTCCACCATAATTTGCAAATAAATTCTTTCCAAATCAGCCAATGTGATTGTCTGGATTTGTTTTCTCATTTTGTCTCTCATAGTTGAGGTCTACCTATGATGCCAATTACAGGCCTCTCTCATCTTTTTAAGTGGGAGAACTTGCACACTTGGTGGCTGACTAAATACTTTTTTGCCCACTGTATTTGTTTTGGTACTTTCTATTTGAAGTAGCAGCTCACAAGATTTTACTTAATACCATTTTATTTAATCTAGCTGTATATTTATTGCTGTTACCATAACCTACAACCAAAGAACAATCAAAAATAAAATTCTTCTGCTACTGACGCAGCAATACCACATACAGTATGTGTATATTATTTGCTGTTTGCACCCATAGTAGGGCTAGTTTGCATTTTGACTTTTTTTACCCTACCTAGAACGCAATGACCCCAGCGGCAGGCTGCACAGTGATCGATCACTGTGATAGCCGATCAGAGCCTATCACAGTGAAAAAGTGATCGGGAATTGGGAGTCCCCGGTTCTTGATCATTAGTAGGACAACCAGGCTCTCTATGAGATCATGCTCCCAGCACAAACACAAGAACACATATATTTGGTGCCCAGATTTAAAGCTCACCTCCTGGACGCTGCATATATGTGTTACTGTGTCATGAACGGGTTAAAGTAGACGTAGAAACTAAAACAATAAGGTATTTATGATTTATTGCAAAAAGTATTTATTGCAGTGGAGTGCAAGGCTTTAAACTTAGTTTATTTTAGCCTTTTTTTCCTACTTTAAAGCATATCTAAACTCAAGAACAAAATGTATTAGCCTCAGCTACATACTTTATACAGTGTTGTGTTCTAGCAGAGGGATGGTTATTTCCCATCCCACTCCTGGAACAAAATCAAGACGGGCTAAGCGCTGCTCAGATATTCACAAGAGGCTTTGTATTCTATGAATGAATACAAAGTTTCCTCTGATTGGCTGAGGCAGAGGTTGGCTGATTACATCATGATCTCCAACTCAGCCATTCAGAGGAAGCTTTGTATTAATTCATAGAACACAAAGCTCTCTGTGAATGTCTGAGCAGTGCTCAGCCTGACTTGAGTTTGTTCTGGGAGAGGGACAGGAAGTACCCATCCCACTGTCAGAGCTTAGCGGTGTATACTGTATGTAGCTGAGACTATATACAGGTGATAGAGCATTGACAGCCACTGCATGTGTTAGTGAAGTTAATAGTTTGTTTGGACCAGCTTGGTCCAAATGAACTATTTAAAGCAGAGTTCTACTCAAAAGTGGAAGCTCCACTTATTTGCCTCCTCCCCCCCTCCACTGACATATTTGGCACATTTTGGGGGGAGTGGATACCTGTTTTTGATAGGTACCTGCTCCCACTTCCGGCTCAGTTCACCACGGCGAAGTGAGACAACGTTTGGCCCCCTCCCTCCATCTCATGGAAACTTTCACAGGTCCCAGAAGACTGCTGGACCAATTAGGAAGTGCAGCGCGACTTGCACATGCGCAGTGCGCACCAGGCTGTGAAGCTGCAAGCTGTCACAGCCTTGTTCCCACAGTAGAGAGATACCGGCACCATGAAGGAGAGAAGAGAAGAAGGCACGTCATGGGTGAGAACATCACTGGACTCCGGGACAGGTAAGTGTGTGTTTATTAAAAGTCAGCAGATACAGTTTTTGTAGCTGCTGACTTTTAATAAACACAAAAATGTCTGGAACTCCGCTTTAAACTTCATGAAGACATGGAGAGCAACTTGAAAATAGTTTAGCTTTTTTTTCAACAAGTTGTTCAAAAACATCATTATAACCAGAGAACCCCCATGTCCTCAATTTCCTACTACCAAGTTCAATAGAGTTGTTTCCTTTTACCCTGTGTATGAGAAAATACAAAATGTCTGGAGAATATAGTCAGCCTGCCACTCTAGCTTCTGGGACAGGCAGGCAAACACTGCGTCCTCCCTCTAAACAACACTGCATCTTTCCTGTAAATAACATTTGCACAGTAAGTTTTGTATTCAGACACTCTTCACTGAATCCATGGTGGATTTCTTTTCCGAGGATGGTAGCAGCTGCCAGACATTCTGGAGGCAATATTATTTATTTACTTTTATTTGACTTTTTTTTTTATCCCAAGGGGGATTTTGTATTGAAATACCATGCCACAAGCATGAGCCAAAAGACTGGCTTGTAGTTGTGATGCTGTCCTATTGACCTCAATTTATAAGTTTGACAGGCGGCACCGCCATCTGTGACCAGCTTTAGTCATGTGGCACAGTTCTGCTTCAAGTCTGTAAATAAAAGTGCCTTATAGTACTAAACCACTCTAGTCCTCAGGTTGCTTGTGTTAAATATACTGTATATCATGTCAACAAAATTTACCAGGCTGTGTGGAGCAAAAAAGCAGCATAAACTCACTTTCTTTCAATTAAAAACTACAGCTATGTTAGCTGGCTTGACTTGCTATCACCTCCAAAATGAGTACAAAGAGAAAACAACACTTGCAGGAAAAAAATTGCCAAATAGATTACCTGGATAAAGAAAAGTTTTGGCTTCCCAACTAGCTGCTTGCAGTTTTCTCCTTTGAATAGGTTAAACAGATACTCTTCGTCCATGAAATCATCGTAACAATAAAATCCACCATCTTTCCCATGGCCTAATACAACACAAACAAAGCAACCTCTCTGACTGTGATCATCCTCGGCAACTGAAATATGGGGGGAAAAAATGAATGAATAAGAAGAATAAAAAGTCAACTAACAAATAACGAACACAAACTGATATAGTGGTAAAATAAGCCTCATGCATAAAAGCATCTGTAATGATGGTTTAAAACACGTGATGACAGGTTTGAGCTGGGCTGTATTATAATCTCATGCACATATAGGCAAATATACACTCACTGGCTGACTGTTAATGGCTTAGGGAAAGAAGGATGGGGGTGTTGGTGGGGACATTGGTCATAGGGTTAGAAGCCCTATGCCAGTCTCTGTTGTTCTCCCTAGAGATAGTGATTCTGGAAGCATTGACCATCAAGAACACTTAGCTGAATATTGATGTCTAAGGGCCCTGTTCACACTTGATTAAATTTCTAACTCTTAACAAATGCTTCTATAGCATTAGTATGGGCGTTAGACAGGTGTTAATGAGCTTTTGCAAGGGCAATTAGACCGGCGTTTTACAAGCTATAAAAATGCCCCCCAAATGCCCTATGTGCAGTTTTGATGCATTTTGTAAGCATTTTACAACTGTTAAAACCTCACCACAAATGTCTATAATAAACTGTAATGTTATTAACGCACAGCAACCGCCCTGCACACGCCCTGCAAATGCTTGCCAGTGTGTTTGCAGAGCATCACCATAGATTTGAATGGGAGGAATTGAAAGGCTTCAAACTCCTAAAGACTCGACATGAGGCTTCAATTTTGAAGGGACGCGACACTAACGCTTCATGTTTTGATAATGTGAACAGCACTGTGCGCTGTCTATAGTACCATTTGCATAGGCATCTGAGGAGTGTAAAAAATGCCTCTCAAAAGCCTGTTTTCAATGCCAGTGTGAACTAGGCCTAAGGCAATGGCCGGTGACAAAGTTTTCAGAACATGGTTGGATTTTGCCTGCATGGCAGCCCTGTGTCTATAGGCACCTTAGGAATTGCTCATAATTGATGCCAAAGACTCATCATATGTATACTATTTACCTCAAATGCCCAATTTGTGAGCAAGAACACCCAGAACAGGATGTCACAGGAATACCAATAAAAACTAATTTTTAGCAAAGTGATGACTAGTTAAAACTTCTAACAATGTTTTTATTGCTTAAATATATAAAAAAAATCCCGCGAACAACAACCAAACACACAAAAAAATTATTAAATTATAAAAACAAATAATCACTCCAAATGCAGTCGCTTACACCCTGCACATACTCATCAATGTGTCTAAAACTAAACAAAACAAATAAGTGCAGTGCCTTCCAATTACCAAAAAATCCTTATTAATATATACACATAGCAAAGAAATCTTGTGCGCAATAGTGAGTATATGTGATGACACACCCCACTGAGGAAGCCACGTGACCTCTGGCGTAATGCATAAAGGAAGGGCCAGCTGATGTCACGACGCAACACAAAGTCAGAGTATAGGATAAAGTGTTTAAACGATAAAGCACCATTTCTGCTTATTCCGTTTTTTATGGATCGGTGGGGAGAAGAGGAGAAGGAGAAGGTGGACAAGATTTAAAGCCCATAATGGGAAGGAGTGCCGACAGGGGCATCTTACCTTGTCCCATTTAGAGGACACAAGCGTGGTGTGACCAAAACATTGTATAATGTGAGGTCAAAAAGCTCCAGGTGAGAGCACAATTTGGGTGTTGGTGGTGGAACACTGCTTTATGTCGTATGAAGATATAATATTGAAAGATTATATACTGACTATTGCGCACAAGATTTCTTTGCTATGTGTATATTAATGATTACTTTTTTGGTAATTTGAATGTTTTTATTGCTGTTGCAGCCCTCCTGCCCCTGGAGAGTCATAAAACAAATAGGTGGTACAGGCATCACCAGGACAGGAAAGCACAGACCTCAATGAAAACATGTGGAGAAAGGAAGAGTTAGTGACTCTTTCAGGTTTCTATAAAAATCTATATCCCTAGTCAGGCATATTTTTCTCACTTCCTGTCAGATACTCCCTTTGTAGGGTTAGATGTAAGGGCCCAATTCCTCAATACCACATCATGAAGGAATAGTGACTAAAAAAGATTTTTAAAGCAAGCAGAGATCACTGAATTAGAGCATAATATGTTTATTCTTTCATTTTGAATTGTATTTGGAAGGATACCTGCTCCAGAAACAGGTTTCAGTGATGTGCACAACCTGTGCTGTGTGCTATGCAAACCTTCTAAGTAGGGGTGAGTGGGATAAGATTTTGGCCAGAGACATCATCTATGTACCTGTGCCATGCTTTATCATGGCATAGGTACATAAATGACATCTTTTTTCTCTAGTCAGGTTCAGAAAGGCTATTGGGTGAGTTTGTTACTATTTTGATTTGTAATGATCAGAACGTACATTTTATTTTTGTGACAAATAGGGTTAAATATCTCCTTCTTGGATATAAAGATATGTAAAAACAGTGAGGGTGGGTTATACACCAAAATACATATTAAAAAACACAGTGGGAAATACAATATTGGAAGTATCTAGCAGCCATCTGGAACATTTGATTTAAAGTATACCCTATGGACAATACCTCTGGGATCGGTGGAACTGTACCAAAGGAAGTGATTTTGAGAGAAACACATAAGTTGAAACATAAACTACAAGCAAGGGGATACAAACATAATTGTTAATTCAAGCTTACAGTAGAGTTAAAATATCTACCCTAATAATAAGTGTTAACCCATACAACACATTTATAGAAGTATGGAAAACAATCTGATTTTTTCAGGTTCACTTCCACATTTTCAAGCGCAAATTTTCTAATGCAAATAACTGAAGAATGTTTTAAAAGACACTTGCATTTTTGAAAGGAGATTAATCTCTTTTCCAATATGTCCCAGACTCCCCAAAAATTACATAAAGAAAGGTTAAATTGCTCAAAGATATGCTTACTTTTAGTAAACATAATTGTGAGAGAAAAATACTGTTGTAAATATCCAGATACGTATACTCTTGCCAGAAATGTGTTTTTTTTCTAAATTTTTACCATTTGGAAAAACCATTATATTACCAAGAGGTAATTGTTATTCACCAAAACAAGATGAGAATTTTAAGACACAAGGCATGATTTATGTTGGACTCACATCTCAGGTCATATTTATATTACATCATAGAATATGATTTTCCCTGTGGCACAGCATTTTATTTTGAAACATCTCAGTAACTTTCAGGGATTACATTTCACCATGCTTGAAAAGACTACACAGGAGTTAGAGGAGGTGAAAATTTTGTTGCAAAAGAAATGTCACTGTTCATCAACTCACAGCATATCAAAGAAAAGGCAATCATGATGCCATAAACATTTTTTTTTGTGAGGTTGGAGTTGCTATCCAAAACTTGATCCTGTAGATTTTTTTAATCCCTTAGATTATAATTTCCGAATATATTGTCAATAGTATGGGATTTATGTCTCATCAAGATTAAAAATCTTTTACCTGTTTTTAATTTTTACAAACATTTTCCAGTTATGAGAAATATAAATGTATTCATTTTTAAAAAAAATAGTTTTTTAAATACATGTATTTCAATTATTATTATTTATTAGGCTATTGATTTTCTGTTGATATGCAACATTATTCATGTACTTGTTTATATTGTTGGGCTATTTTTGTTTGAAATGTAGTCAATGGAGCTTCTGTTGCCTGGTGATGCTGGGTGTTGAGGAACACAGACCTACACCTTCTCCATTCCATGTACCAGATTTCCCAGATACAGAGCACAGGAGTGTGAAACACAGATTTACTTAGATATATATGTTTATCTGAAAAGGACTTGGCACACATACAGTTTTGCAGACATTGGTTGATGTTGGAGCATACTGACAAGGCGTAGTCTTCTGGGACATGTGACAGGTTCCAAAAGAATATGGAACCATTCAGATAGCGCAGTGCTACTCACACATGCACAGTGGGCACCCGGATGTGAAGCTGCAAGCTGTCACAGCCGAGTGCCCACACTGAAGATGTTGGCACCGGGAACACAGGACGGCCGGTGAAACAGGCTGCAGGGAGGACACCGCGGGATCGAGGGCTGTGAGTATCTGTTTTTTAGAAGTCAGCAGGTCCAGTTTATGTAGCTGCTTACTTATAGTTTTTTACAGTTTCACTGGAACTCTGCTTTAAATCTTTTAGTATGTCAGCTTCTTTATATCTTTGTGTTCTCAGAAACATTTGTATACATTTCATATGCTAAGCAGTAATACTGACCTCCTTTCAGTAGTTCAGATATTTTTGCAGCTGTTGGATTGTTCTCAATTTTTACTTGGAATCCAAAATTTTTAAAGACTTCATGGAGTGATTCCACATCTTTATTGGTACCTGGTCGTTCTCCTGTTTTTAACCCTTCTTTTGAAATTAGCTCTTATAAAAAAATAAAATAAAAAATAACACTTCAGCTAAAGAAATTATGTAAATCATAAACTTTTGAGTCTGAATGATAAAAGGAGCATTTTTACCCTCTAAAGTTATCTGTTAAAATCAGAGAATCAGTCCAAAAAGCAACTTTAAAGTAGACCTCTAGGTAAAACCTCTATTATCTGTTTTGAATAGAGTCGGAAAAGGTTAGAATGTCTCCTTTATTGCTGTTTTTGTCCCCATTGGGGAGATTTACTCTCTCTTCCTGTGTGGCAGTGAGCAGAATCTCCAGAACTGGGGAACAAACAGAACTTTTTGTACATGGAAAAGGATAGTAACCTCTATTAGACTTTTACTGTAATCTGTATCCCAGTGAGAGATTCTTTTCCCCATTGACAGGTAAGAAATTAAAGAGATGGTCACCAGTAACATCTACCACAGATCCAGAACCCTTCCCTACTTTATGCAAAATTTAAAAAAAAAGAAAATACATATTCTACTCAGTAACAAACTTTATGGCATAGACATGAGCAGCACATTAAATATTAAGGGTAGAGTCTATAGCCCTTGTGCAGCCCTCAGGGCCCCTGCAGACACTAATATGTGTAATCTATTGCCTTTTATAAATAACAAAAAATATATCCTCCTGCGCTTTTACGGTAAATGGTACACTTAACTAAAAAGCAGCCAGCATCTAACCCATACCAAATAGGGGCAATAGTACAAATACATATAAAAGTGATGCAGCGCTAAAACTAATAAAAAAAACACTCAAAAGATATAGAAAGTAATATGCATAGAATACTAAAAAAATAGCTTAGCAAACGGGGTAACAAATGGCCCAGGGCCACATGGGGATATCAAAGAGACAGTGAACCCTGGTACCCAAAGGGTACTCAATGAAGACCAGGTGAATATCTGCAGGAAAAACCAAACAGATAACAATGGCTTTGTGCAAAATAAAGTGTCCACAGTTCATACAAATGCTGTTATTTCCAAGACGTGCATGTGAATCACAGCACACTCCAAATGTGATCCCAAGTAGTATGGCTGCAATGGCCTCGCACCTCCACTCTACGAGCCCGCAGGGCCACAAAGCAAATGTAGATCATCTCTGGATCCCTCAAACCGGTGGCTCCTCAGGTAGGATGGTATAGGCAGTCATCATATAAATAGTATTCAACCGGACCAGTGGGCAAACGGAATACACCCTCCTCAGGTGTCAAAGCTCATATGCTCATCTCGGCGATACTTCATCCTGCACTTGCACACACATTAGACAGCTCCTGTTGTCCCTAGGCAGAGCTCTACGTCCATCCTGTCTCCCTTCATCCTGGCAATGCTTACTGATAAACATTATCAGTAAGCATTGCCAGGATGAAGGGAGACAGGATGGATGTAGAGCTCTGCCTAGGGACAACAGGAGCTGTCTAATGTGTGTGCAAGTGCAGGATTAAGTATCGCCGAGATGAGCATATGAGCTTTGACACCTGAGGAGGGTGTATTCCGTTTGCCCACTGGTCCGGTTGAATACTATTTATATGATGACTGCCTATACCATCCTACCTGAGGAGCCACCGGTTTGAGGGATCCAGAGGTGATCTACATTTGCTTTGTGGCCCTGCGGGGTCGTAGAGTGGAGGTGAGAGGCCATTGCAGCCATACTACTTGGGATCACGTTTGGAGTGTGCTGTGATTCACCTGCACGTCTTGGAAATAACAGCATTTGTATGAACTGTGGACACTTTATTTTGCACAAAGCCATTGTTATCTGTTTGGTTTTTCCTGCAGATATTCACCTGGTCTTCATTGAGTACCCTTTGGGTACCAGGGTTCACTGTCTCTTTGATATCCCCATGTGGCTCTGGGCCATTTGTTACCCCGTTTGCTAAGCTATTTTTTTAGTATTCTATGCATATTACTTTCTATATCTTTTGAGTGTTTGTTTATTAGTTTTAGCGCTGCATCACTTTTATATGTATTTCTACTATTGCCTTTTATAGTAGTGATTTTGAGCAGCCTCGTGTAGTATGGTTTCAGCTCGCCAAAGGGTCACAGGTTATATTAAGTATCTGTAATGCAATAGAACATTCTCCAAACATATTACAGGAGATTTTCAGAGACTGCAGACATGCTGTGATACGAGTGTGACAAGTTTGTATAAGAGTGAATGTATAGATTATAATTGAACATTTGATTTCCTTATTACCAGAATAAAAGGTTATTACAGGTCTTGGTTTCTTCTGATACAGGAAAAAAGAGGCTATTACAGTTCAGACTTGTTTGTGCAGAAGTGGTTGAAATTAGTTTTATCTGGAATTATGATTCATTGTTATGAGAATGGAGCACACCCTTGAAAACAGGCAACTGAGCATGATCCCACGCTGTGTTCACACGCCGAAATGTATACACTGCGCATGTACAGACGTGAAATAACAATTTTGTCTTATAAGAAGGGGGGATCAGCGAGGAGAGAACGGGACTTAATCTTGGTGCGACAGACGTGTCTTGCGGTGTTTTCTCCCGGTTTCCTCCTCGCTGATTGCTGGAAGTCCCCCAATCAAGGCGAAGGGTGATGCTACAATATCCGGTGATGTATTGATGCTTACTCTTTATGATTTATTCTATATATGATTAGCTATAACCTGTAATAGGAAATATTAAATCTCAATAAATATACTTTTTTATTTACCTAAAAAGACTTAGTCTTTGCCTATCTAGTATGATAGTGAGTTGCAGACTTAATTTTAAGCAGGTAAAACATAAATTGGCATAGTCGGCAGGATCATTTGGGGAAAGTATTGTTGTTTTAAAGTATTTTGTTTTGGGATTTTCAGCGGAGACCTCTTTTGCGCAGAAGAGTCTTCATGCAAAATCTTGAAAATTGGCTTTTTGCCAATAAGGTTCAAATGCTTATAGAAGGACAGCGGAACGTGATATTGAAAAAATAAGAACAGAAATTGAAAGTGTGCATTCAGATGTTTTATTTGAACCTGTTGGCACTTTGCCAAAAGTTTTGAATTAGTATATATTTTTGACATAGATGTTAAGAGAGGGACGGGACTTTGGGAGGTTCAACTAGTAAAAGAGGGGAACCTCTGCCCGGAGTCACGCCCATTTGGCACATTGCCAACATTTTGAAACACATAACTAATATCCCCGTTTGAAAAGAACTAACAAAGTTTAGGAAGAAGAATAAAGATAAAAGTGAGGAAAAAATGGAGGTACCTGGCTGGACCGAGGCTCCATATAATATTGTTGCTAGAGAATTAGTTACACAGGGTTTGGCTGAATCATGGGAGAGTAAACTAAAAGAAGCAGAACCCCTTGATGTTGTAAATGTACTCAAGGGGGTCCCTGCCAAGGCAGGTGATGTAGTGGCTTTAGGCAGATGCAGTTGGATTTTGCTAACTGCATACAGGAAGATTCATAAGAAATTACATCAGGTAATGAAGGATTACCATCAACTAGAGCAGAAGACCATAGGACAAGAAGGTAAAATTGCTTTTCTGCAATGTGGGCAAAAATTGTTGAAAGATAAATTAGAACATTATCAAAATATAGCTGAGATAGCAGCAGTAAAAGTTGCCCAAAATAAATACAGAAAGAGGAAGGGAAGAGTTAATAACAGTAAAGTTCATAAAGCAATAGCCTCAGCATCAGTGGATTGGAATCCTGATAAGTGGGATGCTGATGTGTGGGATTCTTTATCTAGCAATGATTGGGATAATTGCCCCGGAGGACCAAAGGCTGGGAAATCCATCCGGCCAAAATACAAGACCCGTCTCAGGTAGTGAAATTCCTGGGGATACAGTGGAATAAGGGGCACAGAGAGAGCTTGCCCAAAGCAAGAAAAGAGAAAAAAAAATTTGAAATATCTTAGTAAATCTTAGTAAATGGATAAAGTGTTTATGATTTTGATGCATCATTAGACAAAGATTCTTGTGTTAAGTTATGTAGGAGAATTAAAACTGAAGCCGGCACTAAAAAACATTGGAAACAGGAGCTCATGAATGAAATGAAATAGAACAAATGGGTATAGCATTGACCGAGTTGTGTGAGCCTACTACTGACTATGAGTGTTGTATATGAATACATAACATATCTGTTGAGACCCAAGACTGCTATGAAGTCATAGAGAACCATAGAGACCTGGTAAATGGTTTATAAGCTTGATGGTTTAAAAAAAAAAGTAGATATGCTGATTTTTGTTTTTTTTACTAATATTCGTATTCTATGTTGTTGCTAAACTTTGTATGTGTATTTGTAACATGTCTTTAAAGAATCCGGATTTAACTATATTGATAAGAATGAGAGAAGTGTTTAATAAGGATGGAACGGATGTGTATGTTGTTAATGGGTTAAATCTTCCTCCTCTGGAGATAAGAGAGAGCACAATAACTCACCTCCCCCTCAGAAGGGGAATGTGGATAATCACTTGTCCTGGGAAGATATGTTCCAGGCTTTACTTAAAGTCGGAGTTCCTAAAAGAACACATTGATGGGAAAGATGCACAAGTATTGTGGAAATTATATAAGCAAAAAGTGCTGTCAGGAAGGAAGGCTGATAAGAAGAATGCAGAAGTAAGATTAAAAGAACATAAGGATGTAGACAAGAAACAAGAAAGGGAACAGGAGAAGGGGAAAACGGGTGTAGGAGATTTCCCTGATTGGGATAAGTTTCAGAAAATCTATCCCTGGGAAGAAATAGCAACCATGGTAGCTTAAAAAATTCAGACAGCCTCAGCTCCTCTCAAAGATCCGTTAGGATCGCAAGAGGATAATTTGGCATGAGTAGCCAGCCAAGCCCCCATATGGATTTAAAAAGATGATATAGACTGTATGTACAGGTGAGTATCCATTGGAAAGGGGATAATATAGAAACAGTGCAAGCATTAGTAGACACAGGGGGTGGATGCTACTCTAATTTATGGTAATCCAAAGAAATTCAAAGGAACCCGAGTAAAAATATCAGGGTTGGGGGGGGAAAGTGACTGAAGGTGCACAAACTGAAGTAACCTTAAACATTGGGAATTTACCTTTAAGAAAATACCCTGTACTGATAGTTCCTATAAAAGAATATATTATTGGTATGGAGTCCATGATCTTGCCAGCCCAGGACCGGGTGGCTCAATTGTTTTTTGATTCCTTTGTATATCGCTAACATTAAAGAAGGCGAAGCTCAAACAAAGTTAACGGTTAGAGGAGACCAAGGTTTTGGCTCTACTAACATGGTTAAGGTGGGGGCTAAAATTTGGGTACAGGGGGCATCTGGTCCCCCAGAACCTGCAGAAGTAATAGCAGTTGGCAAGGACCAAACCCTGTTAATCATGAGACCTGGAATAGAAAAATGGGAATATGTTCCTCAGGAAAAAATGTTATTTGAGAGAATAGAGCTGAAATTTATTTCTGATTACAGATCAAGCTAAAACATGTCATCGTCCTTGGAATCCTTGGTATCGGGTGGTCGGCCACCTTATCCGTTGAAGCCTGGACACCTGGAACTAAAGTGACTGACACTCATCAAAGTAAAGTGGGGTGGAGATGGAAAAAACTCAACTAAAAACTGGCAACAGGATTCTTTTTTTTGTCCTGCTAATCAAGCTTGCAATATTTTGAATATTACCTTCGACGGAAGTATGTGAGCTGGGGCTCCTGATCCGGCCAGAAGCAGATACCGTCCGACGTATGCATTACATAAAGACAGTGGAAAAGTGAATATAACGGCTCGAGTAAATGTTAGTTGTTGACAACAGGAAGCAAGCTTCATTTATTTGTCAGCTGCAAATAGGAGGTCTGTAACAAGAAACTGTACCACTAAGACTATACCAAGTACTGTCTTTCAGTTTGCTCTTAATGAGACAATCATTGTGATTTGTACCAATGTCAGTGAAATCCAAGGAAGATCATGGTGGGGTCAGTACTTAATCTTTGTAAATTCAAGCACTACTCATATTGACCTCGGACATATTAAAAGATTTCCTTCTACATGTAAAACAGCGGGGCAACATGCCCAAAAGACTATAATACATGCTCAAATTGTTTTTTCCACGGACTATGAACTGGCCAAAGCCTGCGCGTACTAAATGGGCGTGGTATGATACCATGCTTGGAGGTTATGGGACATTAACAGGGACTTTGAATGGTTTTGATATAGAAACATTAGTCAATAGATTATATAATGCTGGTAGCAAATTAAATGATGCTTTAACATTATAAGCTAGATGGATGCCCACTATATGGCTGCCAGCCAGAACAAGTGCTGGTGTAGATACTATAATGGCCGATTTATAAGCTGCTTCTAATATATTCAATTATGGTTTTGATTAAAATGTTGCTAATTTTGTAAATTGAACAGTATGTTCACTGCAAACTATATATCAACAATAACAGAAAGGAGTTTTTCAGGCCATGCTGATGGCCGGAAATGAACAAATATGGAGGACCGTGTTTAATCAGTCAATTGATCCAAAGTTTTGGGTACATTTGGAATCTCAGAAGATGGTTTGCAATGACACATTCTGTTCGGGAACAATCCATATGTATAATGTGACCAAATCTAGTGTAATGTGCAAATTTGTGGTAATATCTTTGATTCTAGGAGTTCCCAGAGATTTACATTATTGGGCTCCAGAATTTTATGGCACATATGTGGATGGTGAAAATAGAGTGCATGATCTTTCCTTCTGTGATAATACTTTAGAGGGAAAGATATGTCAGTTGCAGTCTGCTGTATATGAACCTTGTTTATTGCAAAATACTGTAAATATTTGTAAATGGACAATTTTACTTTTGACATATAAATATATGATTGAAATTGCACCCCAAATTGTCTGTATGATCACAAACGTGCCCGCCGTACCGAATATGCAAGTCCCCTTTTCAGGGTGTGTAAGCAATATGCCAACAGTACATTGGGAAAATGAAACCTTTATTTTAAAAGCGGACACTGAAGTGGATGTACAGACATATTGGAGACATATTAGTTTAGAAGTGTCTAATTGGGATTTTAGCCTATCAAAGCTGGAAAAGATTATTAACCAATCATCTGAAGTTAGGGAACATATTAAATTGCTTAACAAATCAATTGCATTGCATGTGATAGGGACTATTATTGTTAGAGATAAGCTTGTCAAGGTGGGCTCTAGCATAGCTGATGCAACTTCACACCATTGGTGGGATTTATTTACTGGACATTCTCCTTCTGCAACACAAGTCTTGAATTTTTTGATACACCATGTATTGGTTATTTCTATTGTGGCAATTTTATTATCACTTTGGAATTGTTTTATGGCCTATAAATTGTTTTGTAAAAAACCAAGAGTATTGATGGTAACATACGGAACCTAAGTGTTCAATTAAGGACCAATTGTGATACGAGTGTGACAAGTTTGTATAAGAGTGAATGTACAGATTATAATTGAACATTTGATTTCCTTATTACCAGAATAAAAGGTTATTACAGGTCTTGGTTTCTTCTGATACAGGAAAAAAGAGGCTATTACAGTTCAGACTTGTTTGTGCAGAAGTGGTTGAAATTAGTTTTATCTGGAATTATGATTCATTGTTATGAGAATTGAGCACCCCTTGAAAACAGGCAACTGAGCATGATCCCACGCTGTGTTCACACGCCGAAACGTATACACTGCGCATGTACAGACGTGAAATAACAATTTTGTCTTATAAGAAGGGGGGATCAGCGAGGAGAGAACGGGACTTAATCTTGGTGCGACAGACGTGTCTTGCGGTGTTTTCTCCCGGTTTCCTCCTCGCTGATTGCTGGAAGTCCCCCAATCAAGGCGAAGGGTGATGCTACAATATCCGGTGATGTATTGATGCTTACTCTTTATGATTTATTCTATATATGATTAGCTATAACCTGTAATAGGAAATATTAAATATCAATAAATATACTTTTTTTATTTTACCTAAAAAGACTTAGTCTTTGCCTATCTAGTATGATAGTGAGTGAGTTGCAGACTTAATTTAGAGCAGGTAAAACACATGCTTACGGAGAGAGTCAAAACAATAGATTTGGTTCTAGAGATGGTCAGAGACTATAGACTTGCTATAGGAGACAGAATATGGACGTAAGTCAAAAATAAGGAAGTTTGCTTAGTAGTGCCTCCGGTACTGAGGCAGTGGGATTTGAAAAGGGCATGGGAGGAAGCCAGAAGCCATTGAGCCCCCCAATTCTGTACTTATGCCGTTTGTTATTGTGACAGAGATCTGCAACACTGCATTTGAGAGATGCACTGAAGGTGGCTGTCTCATGACCACATTCTAAGCATCCACCACCTGCACTGTACTGAAAGGCTGTCATCGCTCATCTTATACAATATTACATAGTTACATAGTTAGTCTGACTGAAAAAAGACAAAAGTCTATCCAGTTCAACCATTTAAAAAAAAAAAAAAAGTTGTAATCCTATACTCACAATTGATCCAGAGGAAGGCAAAAAAAAAACCCAGCAAAGCATGATCCAATTGGCTTCTGCAGGGAAAAAAAATTCCTTTCTGATCCCTTGAGAGGCAATCGGATATTCCCTGGAACAACTTTACTTATAAATGTTAGTATCCAGTTATATTCTGTGTATCCAAGAAAGAATCCAGGCCTTTTTTAAAGCAATCCACGGAGCTGGCAAGAACCAACTCTTGAGGGAGTATATTCCACATTTTCACAGCTCTCACTGTGAAGAAACCTTTCCGTGTTTGGAGATTAAATTTCTTTTCCTCCAGACGTAAAGAGTGCCCACTTGTCCTCTGTGATGACCTCATGGTGAATAGCTCTACACCGAGATCACTATATGAACCACTGATGTATTTATACATGTTGATCATATCTCCCTTAATCTCCTCTTCTCAAGAGAGAATACATTCAGTGCCTCTAATCTTTCCTCATAGCTGAGCTTCTCCATGCCTCGTATCAGTTTGGTTGCCCTTCTCTGTTCTTTCTCCAGTTCCCCAATGTTCTTTTTGTGAATTGGTGCCAAAAATTGAACTGCATATTCCAGATGAGGTGTTACTAATGATTTGTACAGGGGTAAAATGATATCTCTCGCTCTGGAGTCTATACCTCTTATAATACAAGAGAGGAATTTGCTCGCGTTAGAAACCGGAGCTTGGCATTGCATGCCATTATTAAGCTTGTGATCAACCAGAACTCCCAGATCCTCCTCCACCATTGATTCCCCCAATTGTACCCCCCCAGTATGTATGATGCATGCACATTCTTAGCCCCCAAGTGCATAACCTTACATAATATCCACGAAAGAACTCCAGTGTCATTCTGCTGATGTCATAAAATCAAGCCCCTCAGGAATATATTCTAGAAGACCTTTTTAGTAACAATGTGGCTGGGTGACAATGCTGCCAGGTGCAGGAACCAGGCCAGCACACAGTCAGTACTGCAGGCGGGGCTGTGGATTGTTAACCATTAGTGTTGAGTATTTGAAACAAGAACCAGCTTTGGTTCCATATTGCCATCAATTTCATTCTGTAGTTTTGACAACTTTTGTGGCCCTTTCCTTTATTAGAAGCAGCATCTGCTGCATGCTGTACATTTAGAAGAGCAGTAAAAGCTTGAGCTTACACAACTCTTTAGTGTTTGTTTACATAAGAAGCATGGCAGGCTACCAAGATTCTGTTATTGCAAAGTAAAGGGAAAGGAGCTGTGATTTTTCCACAATGCCTGCAGCTACAGAGGTAAATGAGGTGCTTGTTTAAAGGTGGGACTGGGAGTACCTGTGGGTGGACTTTGTCTCCCCTCTAGTAGGTGACCAGATCATAGGAGGAAGCCTCTTCTTCTATACAGCAGAACAGTTTGCAAACAGCTTTCATTGTTCTGCTAATGTCCCTTCTGTATTTCATACGAATAAATTAGGAAATACAATGAAACGTGATTTGAAAACATTGCTGATGACCTACCAGGATCCAGCTTGTCCATGTTTATAATGACACATACTCCCTTCTCTGGATAATTCATGTCATATTTGTGTATTTTGTTATGTCTTCAAGGTCTTTGTTTCTTGGAGTGGAATCATTTTTTCTGGTCAGAAATAAGCAGTACATATAATAAAATAAAGATACACATACAAATACACAACAACAATATAATTTAAGAGTCCAGACCATCCTCCTATGTACACCATATGAACCTGATGAAACAGAAAAGACACACTTGCTGCTCGGTACATGGTATAAGATTCAGGATTTTGGGAACCTCATGCAAGTTTCTTTACTAACGTGCCAAAAAATCTTATGCTTCAAATTGGTTAAATACTATACATGCTCAGAAAGAGGAAATAGATCACATTTTTAATTACTTTAGTAAGTAAAACGTTTTCAAAAACATGCTTTCTGTTTCTGTATAACATGCTTTCTGTTTCTGTATAACTAAAGGCCAAGCTCTTATTTTTTATTTGTCCTGTTTACCATTACAATTGAAAGTGAAAGTAAAGGAAAATCTCAAATTCTGGGTTGTCCCCAGAAAAGTAATTGGGGGAAATATTCCAATGGGACACTAGTTCTGGTGACCTGGGGAGGGGGGGGCACAAGAATTCCCTTAATTTGCAAGATATCCTTATTTCCTGTTTGGCTATGGAACAGAAAATGAAGGGAAATGTTTGCAATGGGACAGAGATGGCAAAAAAAAAAAAAAAAATCTGATAGGGGTTATAACCCTCTCTTGCTCTATCCAAAATGAAAAAAAAGTTTTGCCTATAGTTCTACTTTACATAAAGTGGGATCTCAGAGTAATACATCTGATCACAAGCAGGCAATGTATAATTTCTGGAACAAGAAGCACTTTTTTTTTTCCTTTAGGATGTGTTTCCTCATGTTTACTCCAGATGACCCTTACAAATTTTGTTATTCATCCCATGGATTATTGGATCTGAGTTTGCAACAACAAAATCAAGAAAAAAACAAATGTGGAGCAGTACATCTCAAAGAGCTTCAGTCACAGTGAAATATGTAAAAAATATAAAAATAAATACTTGATTAGAAAATGTTTTTGTATACAAGAGAATTAGAGATGAGCGAATTTCTCAAAAATTCGATTCGGCTGATTCGGCGAATTCCAGTGTGAAATTCGATTCGATGCGAATTTCTTCGCTACGAAGATGACTTATAAAA